GAGATAAAGTCAAATACTTGTATGATTTTCGAGTATAAATGACCCTTTTGCATGTCCACTAACCTTGAAGTCAAAAGTAGAATAGATTTTTATCAATGAAGGACTATCACAATCGGCGAGCATTTCTTCAACTCTTAGCCTTTGACAACTGACGGACAAAAACGCAATTCGTCTGATGTCCAAACTATCCACAAAATTAAAGTGAAGTTTACATGCAGCATTCGAGTTCTACACCCGGCATTCCTTGAAAGAGCAGCTCTTGTCGCTCTTTCGACACACAATGTACATAAAGATGCGGTAACGTCCATTTAAATCATGCAGAAGCTTTGTTGCCCACTGTTGTTGCCACGAACAGTGCAAAAATTCCGCCATATAAATAACACACCGAGAGCTTGTCGAACAATGACGGCGCGTCTCGGGAATCGATAATATATAATGACGTGCAATGCATGCCGGCACGGGCTTCCAACCTCCTCTGTATAAAACAATAGCATCAATCCTGTCTGTCACTCTAACTGTTCTAAAATTCTATCACTTTTACTGATGATTAATGAATAGAATTCTTTTCTACTTAATTATACCTTAATTATACCTTACTTAATTTACCTAATTTACCTGCTTTAAAGCTCCTTCATGTTATCAGAATTAAAAAAATAATCGGTCAATATTTCTACAACAACAACAACAAAATTTTTTCAACCCTTAAGCTTTACAAGTTTGAAAAATAAAATAGATCGTTCATAAGAAAGGGTCCTGGCGCCTTGAAATAACTCATAAAAGCTAAAAATGCCAAGATCTCACTATAAAACTGACTTGTAATGCATTTGAGGACGTAACATATATAAGCACAAAGACAAAACAAACATACAAAGAGAAAACAAATAAACAGAACTATCATTCGCTTATTAATTTGGTTTTTAATATTTAGAAAAATATTCATTTTTTAGATGGTTTCTAAAACGTTGTAAAGAAGAGGTTTTTATATTATCTTCCAAAGAATTCGACAACTGAGGTCCTAAAAATCTCACGTTAAATTTTCCATAATTCATCAAAGGTTGACGGAAGCAGCTGGTTATGATACTGATACATAAATATGAGCGTGTGAAGTGATATAAGATTAGGCCGTGGGATGAGCATCCAAAAGATGCTTAGAAAACGGATTCCGTTGCACCCCTCGTGGAACTACGTAATTTTCACATGAATAAATAGATAAAAACTTACTTGATCAGAATCCGTTGCTCCCCAAGCGAAACAGGTGCACAATTGGGAGAAAAATCCCTCCAAAGTTTGATATTTTCGAGCTTCGAAATATTCGAACCGCCATTGTTTTGATAGCAAATACGCATGCGCAACTCAGCCAAACTCGCACTGCGCACGCGCACAACCAACGCACATGCTTCGAAGTGGAAACACGCTCAGTTATGCAAATAAACATGGCTGAAGATATTTATAAAACTCGAATATCCTCATGTTTTATGCATTTTGATGGCGTTACGGAGCAACTTTGCAAAGTTACACGCCAAAGGCTTAAGAAATTTCTTGAGTGTAGGTCAAAATGGGCCAAACTTAAATGTCAACAAGCTGAAATAGCTAAGAAATCGTACGAGAACATCGATGACGGATCTGTCAATTCATACATCGAGAAGAACTCTGACACCATTAACTTAGAATGGAACCATCATATGAAATGCTAGAAGAGATTTTGCGATGAACCGAAGATCCGTAGATAACAGAGAAAAGAAGAAAAAGGAGAAGGAACTAGCTCTAAAACTATAACTTCTACTAAAGAATCACACGTGGAAGTGGAGGAAATAGAACCAAGGCGAAAAATTACACGTCAATCAGTCGCAGAAGCTATAAATATAAAGGCCCTGCCTAAAAGAAACGCGCATGTACTCCCAGAGATATGTATTATTTGTGGAAGAGACGCCTCGTGGTTCTCACTAGACAAGGTATGGTCATTTTGATAGGTATAATACTAGCGCAATGTGCACAACATTTTCAGGTTTGGTTTTAAAATATATTGAATTGTGATCAATTAAGTTTATTTAGGGTAAAGTAGTTTCTATGCTACAAACATCCAACCTTGTTATTAGCAGATATTTAGTTTAATAATTTATTTTGTTACACACCAGGTAACTAAGAAGAGAAGAAGAACCCCACTCATGTTGGCAAAAACAATTGATGCTGGTCTTCTACGTACAGCTGCCGAGAGAAAGAATGATCAACAGATACTCGTGCAAATCCAGGGGAAAAACTGTGTAGCTCTGGAAATCCGCTATCACAAAGTTTGCTACTGCAATTATACAATATTTCTCACCAGAGAGACGAAGAAGCAACGAGAGCATCAGTGTACGAGAAGTCTTATGATGTATATTTCTGTAAGAAAGTAATTGAGATGGAGGTCATCAGAAATAAGCAAATAAAGTATATGAAAGATTTGCTGGAGAAATTTGTTATCATTGCTAAGGACACTGAGAATGTGGATGCATCTAAATATAGAGCTTTTAAACTCAAGCAACGACTGATGAAAAGTTATCCCCAACTTGTGTTCTGTGTACCGAAAATGAGAAATGTTAGTGAGATTGTATATGTGGAAAATTTGGATTCTTCTGAATTGGTTGAGGAACATATGTCAATTAATGGCCTGTTTATATGGAAGCCTGGATGGCCCGCTTAGCAAGACAGTCCAGTAAGCGGGATGAATTTCTCTTGTGTTTATATGAGAAACTTTCATCCCGCTTGCCAGGACAATTTTGTTACATTGTATTGTTTTGACAGTTGTTAAAAATAGCTTGCGGCGGTATCTTTGAACTTTCATCCTGGCAACCAGGATAGCCCGCTTGTAAATGTTTATATGGAGAAATTTCCATCCCGGTAAGCGAGATCTAGCCTCTTTCAAACGAGATCTCAGCAACCCGGGCCAGCCTGCTTGTCCATATAAACGCATGATAATTTTTACTATAAAAATAACTACATAGCGAGATCTTGCTTACCAGGCTGTCTCGCTTATCAGGCCAGCCCGGCTTCCATATAAACAGGCCCTAAGTCTGAAAACAATGATGAGGACTTTGATGAAGAGAGCTGTACCATTGATGATGATGATGTGAATTTCAACACAGAAACTGAGGGAAATTCTAAAGTCAATGAGTTACAAATTCTATACAATGCTTGATTCTTCACCAAAAGGTGCAAGAAATACCAAAACTGAATCTTCCTTGGCCACCATTGGCATCTGATTTGACAAGGGATAATATTTCAAATCCAACTATGAGGACTGGACTAGATTTCAAGTCCACGCAATTTGATCACGTCCGAGGCGAATCAGAGGACTGGATCAAAATGTGAAGACTTGAAATCTAGTCCAGTCCGAATTGGAGGATTTGAAATGACATCTCATTACGAATAAATCACTACTTAATTAATTTTGATCCAGTCCAAGGACTGAATTAATTTTAATCCAGTCCTAGGACACTACAGGATCAATATACTTCATAACACTACAGGATCAATATACTTCATAAAGTATCTAGTATTATCATGTGAGCAAAATAAAGCAATATGGTTGGCTAATTTGCTCATGAATTATTAATGATTTGAGGTGAACAATGATGGTAATGCATGTAGGTATTATCAGTGGAGTAGATCAGTATTTATTTACTTATTCGATATTCTCATTAGGATCCACAGTATTTATATTATCAACACATATATCCCTCTCATGGACAGGGTTAACAGTATGGTCATGTCTGAGAAGCTAAAACGCACCCTGGTGGAGGAGCTGAAACTCACAGCAGCAAATCTATAAGAAAAAGTCAACTAGTGTGGACACGAAAAACCAGGCTGAATCGTTCCTTGTTATTCTAGATAGTGGCTAAATACCAACTTATGTCACAATATAAATATAATACATGAAATAGTTCAAATACGAGAAGTAGAAGTTTACCAGACAAAAGCCAGGACAGCTTATTGCAGAATACATGCAATCTCGTTTTGAGCATGCAAGCCCTTGGCCAGGATCCAATAAGTGGGATTTTATTGCTCTGATGAAAATCTGGGTTCAAAGATGAAAACATTTCTTTCAATTATAGATAGCTATAATGAAATTATGGATTTTATATTTCCTCCTATTTTTTTTTTATGAATTTCGAGTTTATATAAATATCCCTTAAAGCCCGGGATGAACTTGGAAACACTGTTATCATATTATTTGTCTTTCCAATCTTTCGGTATGTCATATTGTCTTATCAGCGTCGGCAAACAGATAAAGAGTGTTTCACAAATATTTCATTTTAATTGTTCCTTGATCGTGTGAATTGTATGCATATATATTTTTTATTTTCCGTCCTGTTTGATACAGGTGGGTTTTTTACCTCACACAAATTTGTATTGAATTAGGATGTTAATATAAAGTAGAATTAAACGTTAAAACGGTATTTTGAAACAATAGCCAATGAATTGAAGTGATTTAGCATATGAGCAAGCAAAATATACAATGTGTTTTTAACAATATTTAATGTGAGTGTATTTATATTACAAGGTTTGATCAGTATTCTGTGATTTTATTTTGTTGTTTTTGCGGAGGAAATCGGGGAAACCCCCCAGTGAGAATCTATTTTTATAGTCTGCGCGTGCGCAGTGCGAGTTTGACTGAGTTGCGCATGCGTATTTGCTACCAAAATAATGGCGGTTCGAATATTTCGAAGCGCGAAAATATCAAACTTTGGAGTGATTTTTCTCCCAATTGTGCACCTGTTTCACTTGGGGAGCAACGGATTCTGATAAAGTAAGTTTTTATCTATTTATTCATGTGAAAATTACGTAGTTCCACGAGGGGTGCAACGGAATTGCATCTTTTGGATGCTCATCCCACGGCCTAAAGTGGCAGATTCTGCTCGTTTATTAATTTTGAGCGCGTGTTATGTACAGCGTACATAAAACTTCTTAATTTACATTTTCCTTCAGCAAGAAGTTGTGATGACTTATACCAATTGGGCAAAATGGCTAACAGCGTTTATAGAATCGATCCGGATGGCCTAGGAGGCTTTGATGTTCCATGCGATATGAACAACACTCCAGGGAGGGGCTGGACTATATTCCAAAGACGTGTGGATGGCTCGGAAGACTTTTACAGGAACTGGGCTGACTACAAAACTGGATTTGGCAATCTGTCTGGTGAATTTTGGCTTGGGTTGGACAAGATTCATCGTCTCTCAGCCAGTGGTCAGAATGTACTGAGAGTTGATCTCGAGAGTTTTGACAACGAGACAGCTTACGCAGTTTATGAATCGTTTTCTGTGGGAAATGGAAGCAAGGCTTACATTCTGAAAGTTTATAACTACTCAGGTAATGATAAATATACAGATATAAATTCCTTGCATGTTTGTGTTGTGAGACATAATTCTCAAATCATGATTCATGCGCAAAACACGAAGGAAACCAGCAATATATCGTTTATCTGATACCACTGTTAAAATCACGCATAAATTTCACACCTTCTCAAATCATTAATAATCCATGAGTAATTAAACCAATAGCATGTAAGCATTCCGCCACAAGAAGTTGTTTAGATACCGCGGTCAAACACCGTCAGACACAGCACCACAAGAGTTTAGCTGCATACGTAATTAAGATATTTGATGAAAGTCACTAGTGTTTCATCAAATATCTTAATTACGTATGCAAACTCAAGTCAGCAAACAAATTCACACCCAAAATTGCTTTAATCGTAATCACTCTTTGTCGTCTACATGACTTAATACGAACAATAATCAAATCAATATCTACACATCGTGAAAACACCACTTCAGTTATACAATGTGTATCTCAATAGAATTCCTAATTACGATGTGCTTCGTTAGGAATTCTATTCAAATCAGTAAACGAAAACATTCTGTTACGTCTCGATTCATTTGAGGAGCCATATAAACAACGATAGCGAGTGTTTCACAAATACAAATACAACTTCCCCAATATTGTTTAGGAAAACATATCAAAATTACTGACCACTTGACCTGATGATAAAACCCAATTAGCTCGTTTTACGGCCAGGCCCCTGGCACGACGCATGGCGGTTTAAGAGAATGTATTACTGCTCCGCTATCTGGTCTAATACATCCCAAAGAAATATTGTAAAGCTTCAAGCGGTCCAGGCCTTTGCTGCAGGTATTGTTACCGGGACAAGAAAATACGATCACGTGACTCTTGTTCTGCAACAACTGGGCTGGCTTCCAGTCAAATATATGTTAAAATTAAGATAAGCCATTTTTGCTTTCAAATGCTTGAAGGGATTGCCACCATCATATTTGTGTGAGAAGTTTCATGTCAGGTCAGATGTTCATGACGTTAATACAAGACAAAAGAACATTTTGGATATTCCGGCATACAGATCAGCTGCGGGTCAACGAACCTTTCGTTATAGCTAGGGCTGTGTCCTTGTGGAATTCTCTGCCTCAGTCTCTTAAAAACATTAACAGTTTGACTTATTTTAAAGTAGAATTCTTAACTGTCAGTGGTTTTAACAGATTTACAGAATATTTTAGAAGTATATGTTATACCATAGGTCAAAAATCAAAATTAGTTTTTAGATATTTTAGATATAGAATTTCATATTTGTAATTAGATCCTGAAAAGACCAAAATTGTAAAATGTAAAAGTTGTTTTTGTAAGTAAAATCACACGCTTTTTGTACCATTAAAAAATAAAATATTTGCTCCAATTTTTTCTGAAATATTTAGTGTTAAAGGAAAGAACAGGAAGCTATAAAACCTACACGTGACACATATATATTCGGTGACTTGATGGGCGTAAATATTTATGAATTATTAATTCTATTACAAATAGTACATGCAGGTTAGTTTGAGTAAAATTTTGTGAGTAAAATAATTCACCCAGTAACTCAAAATAGTGACTTAAAATTACCAATTTCATAAGAAAATATACTCAATATTTTGAGTAAAGTAAATGCACCCACACTTACTCCAATTGCTGGGTAAAGCATTGCTTTACTCATAAATCAACTCAAAGTTGACATTAACGTTTTATCTATTTGTTGTAAAGACTGGGTGTGTCAGAGATTTCCTTGACAGCGAATTCACTCAATTCTTACCAAAGTAAACGCACCAACATGCAATTCATCAAATTCCTGAGTAAAACTTTATTTACTCATTAAACATTAAACGGGAATCAGAAGTAATTTTTAAAGCTTCAAGAAAAATTTAATTTTTTTACGTCGATCAAATAGTAAAATTGCGGTTTAGTCTAGGACCTGTATATGAGTTTGTATGCGATTCATTTAGGACAGGTAATCTCAACTGTTTTAGGGTAAAATGACCATGGCGGTCAACATGGCATATGTGCGAAAACCTGAATCCGGGACGAAAGTCCTGAAAATGATCCCGCCCTGAAACGGCAGTGTCGACATAGCTCCAACTTCCAAAAAGGAAAAGCGATAGCCTTTCTGAAGTGCTTATAGTGTTTAGAAGGGTTGCTTTTAGGGGTGGTCATTGAAAGGAAAAATTTGTCTAAGTATAATATTTTAGCAGAAAATGACTATGCACCACCCCAGGTAAATTGCTGATTATGCACAAAATAACTAATATGCCTGGCAGAAATTAAATATTCTTATTTCCTAAAAAAAATTATTATGGGGTGAAAAGCTATGCTTAATTTAATATAAATATTGTTGATTTCATAAGGATTGTCATTGTTTTCTTTAAATATAATACATTTTATTTCACTTACCCCCCACGAAAACACATATTTTGCCGTCGTGTTTGCTTTTTATCGCCGAATCTCGCAAATATCATCCAGTTATTGTACTTTTACATAATTATAAATCGCTGAAGAAGATTTCAAAGAAGGTTTCATCCACTTTTGTAACAGTGCAGTGTATTTTATCTTCGATATTGTGTCCTTCGATATTTCGTCAAATTGCCGCCATTTTAATGGCTCGCCGCTTCTCTGCCCGATAAATGCCGCTTCTTCGTTTTCATATGTATTTAGATTACATTATCCAAGAGTACTTCATTGTAGAAT